GCTAAGCTTATCAAGTAACGGAACGTAATTGCGTCCATTACTGGAGAGTATGTTTCCACATAATCAATTCCAGGCCTTTGTGAAAAACCTTGCGCAACAAGTCGTGCTTTATACCTCGCAATCTCATTTTTCTCATTGCGCTTTCTTATAAATACCAACTTGTAACCTACAAGGTTCACATTGGGTGGAGTTGGAACAATGGGTCCAAAAATACTCCTTTTTTTTCCAAAGAATCTAATTCTGCCTGGATTGCATCTTTCCATTTAGGCCAATCCTGTCTCCGTGTGCATTCATCAATGGAGCAAGGCTCAATATCATCATCTTTTATGATCTCAGTAGCCACTAAGAATGCAAATATATTATCGATGATTATCTCATCTCTGTTCCATAATTCATTAGTGGATGTATAATTTATGGAGATTTCTTGACTTTCAGGTACAACTGCCATTAGTACAGCTGCCATTTCAGGAGCACATGTCTCATCAAGGACATTTTCCTTTTCAGAAAGTACCTGTCCCTCTTGAGAGGGATTTGAACCATGAATTGTGGGCTCTCCATTTATTTCATTTGGATTCATTTTGGCCATCAACTTCCTCTTTCGAGGAACTGAGTCCTTTGAGCCTAGTGGTCTGCCACGCTTCAGGCGTGCAACAGATGAGCCATTTGCTGGCGCATTGCTTTGTCCATTGTGAATATCAATTCTTGCAGGTGCATTTGCAGCTGGGATATGTGATTTCGTCACCTTTGTTGCATCATTAAATGCATCTGGCATCTGATTTGCAATACTTTGGAGGTGAACGATCCTTCTCACTTCGTTTTCACATTGAGTGGTACGAGGATCGAGATGAGACAGAGTGGGTACATCCCACGATAATTCACGTCGTTCTTCAGGAACGAGTTTGCCTTGTTCTTTAGGAACAGATTTTTCTCCCCCTAATAGTGGGAAAATTGTCTCATCAAAATGACAATCCGCAAATCGTGCCCTAAAGATATCACCCGTCAGGGGTTCTAGATATCTGATGATAGATGGTGAATCAAAGCCAACATATATTCCCAATCTGCGTTGAGGGCCCATCTTAGTACGTTGCGGTGGTGCAATAGGCACATATACCGCACAACCAAAAACTCTTAAATGTGAAATATTTGGTTGATTACCCAACACAAGTTGTATTGGAGAGTATTGATTGTTGGCGATGGGCCTCAACCGCACCAGAGATGCTGCATGTAAAATGGCATAGCCCCAAGCAAAAACTGGCAACTTTGTTTTCATTAGTAATGTGCGTGCTATTAATTGAAGACACTTAATCAAAGCTTCTGCCAAGCCATTTTGAGTATGAACATGGGGAACAGGATGTTCAATGTCAATGCCTAGCGACATGCAGTAATCATCAAAAGTTTGGGATGTAAATTCACCAGCATTATCAAGTCTAATTGACTTAATGGGATAATCTGGGAATTGGGCTCGCAA